TTCCTGAACACCATGGGCAATTTACCAAGGCCACTCTACCTGCACACCTTTGGACTGTGGGAAGAAACTGGATCACCTGGAGGAAACCCGTGCAGACACAGGGAGAATGTGCAAACTTCACATGGACAGTCACCCGAGGGTGGAACCTTTATTATTCCTCCTTCATCGGTTTGTGTCTTCTGTCTTCGTTTGCAAGGGTTCAACCACAGACTTCCATTGGATTGTTCTAAATTTCTCAGCTACAGCTGAGATCTTGGAGGATTGTGAGGCTGGAGAGATTACAGAGAAAAAGAAGGGTGTGACTATGGAGAGATTTGAAAACAAGGATGAGAATTTTAAAATCAAAGTTAACTTCTGATAAAGATTGTTGAGACTATTTTGGAGTTGTTAATGATATTCTTTACAATTATAATCACTGATTTCGTTTCGGAACAAAGATGGGTGATGTTGTTTATATGAGTGGAAAAACATGTGTGCCTCTCCTCTCTGTTACATCAACAAAGATTTTAACCAGTTTAAGTAATGCATTGCCCTACAATCAGAGCAAGTTTACAGTATAGAAAGAGGCCACTTTGCTGTTTGAGTCTGCAAAATGAGCCACACAGCGTAATCTCAATTCTATTTTGTCCATAGCCCTGCAGGGTACAACTCTTTGAGGTGCACATGCAGGTAGCTTTATAATGAGTCAAGGGTTTCTGCCTCAAATACCCTTCCAGGCAGTGAGCTCCTTCTGAATGAATACAACCCTTCCTCTTCTCCTGTCTAATCTTTCCATCAATCACTTTGAATCAATGCCCTCTAGTCACTGACCTCCCGTACTTGCTCCTAAAATTGCCACCGCACCACTGGAACACGTTGAAATGAAATGACAGATACCAAATTTGGTGAAATAGAATCAATATTTTTGTCTCTCTTCTCATCTGATAGCTCATATTCAGAGATGGCAAACTGTACTGGATAGCGATCAGAAGCAGGAAACTTGGCTGAAGCCAGTTCTAGTATCATACAGTCATTCTATCTGTGATAAGCTAACTCAGCTCTGTTCCAGGATCAATTCAGATTAATTGATACTGCAGGCAATGCCTCCTCAGCCTTTGCCTTGCCACTTTGTGTAACTTCCATTAACGTGACAGCTCATACTCTCTTCAGTAGCCTCTTCCTTTTACTATTGCCTCCCATGCATATCGATATCCCAAAGCCTGTTTCGCACCATTAATTTCTGTGTCCTCAGCTGCCTACTTCCATGCTTGCCTTCCCAACCCCAACATGTCACATGCTTTCAGTCCCTTTGTAATAACTTCCTCTTTGACTAAGTCATTGCCACCCCTCCTAAATGTCTTCTTCTTTAGCTCAGCCTCTCCTTTTCCCCTTGATAGGTTAGGGAAATAACTTGGTTGTTTTGCTGTACTACATGTAAATGCAAATTGTTGTCATTTACCAACTGAATCTCAATGAACCTCCAGTCTAGATGTTATTAGCTGTTAATGGAAGATTTGCAGGGGGGGAAGAATTTGTATTTACATAACATCTTTCACAATCTTAGTGCACCCAAAATTAACTATTGCAATATAGGAAATATGACAGCCAATTTGCACACTGCAAGTTCCCATGCTGACTACAAATGCTGTTTGCTTTTGTAACATTAGTTGAAGAATGAATACTGGCCCAAAACACCAGGGAAATATTGACCTGCACTTCTTCAAAACATGCATGGCCTGGCCTCATATACATCCAGCTGAAAGAGTCAATGCAACTTTGGTTTAATGTCTCATCTGAAAGATAGCACCTTGGACAGGGCAGCACTCCCTTGGTACTGCTCTGTGCTATGGCTGAGACCTACTTTGAAGGATTTGTGTCGCACCCCGCAGCTAAATACACACAACTGAATCTTTATATTGATGATGTGAAAAAAACAAAATGAGATTGTAGTGGTGAACTCACACTGGGTTTGCTGGATTTTACACCCCATTTGCAAAGCAGAAATGGTTGAGAATGTGAATCCATTTAACAAGTACATCCTCAGTTGCTGATGTGCAACAATGCAGCCATTGAAGGGTTAATAATCTTTAACAGGTGACTGTACATCTGTTAAGCATCCACATTGGATTGCCAGGAAATGCTGTTGCCTGCGTCCATTTTACAGCAATAATGGACAACTGGAGTGATTGCAGAAATAGCAACCTAATCAAGTGACCTAAGCATCATAAACTGGGAGGATGAAACACTGGCAATTTGCAACCAACAGCTGTACAATAAAGTGTAATTGGGGCTTTGAGATTATTTCAGGGAATGTGTGGATCTTACAGCATGCAACTCATGATTGTGCTTTTCTACTACTTCCAGCCTGGGGTTGTTGGCTGGTTCTAACTGCTGCAATATCCTGTTATGTGGCTGCAGAATAATAACAGTTGCAATTATACAGCCGCTTATCACATCAAAACATCTAAACTTGGCTCTGCATAATGAATGGCACTTTGAAGTGCAGCCACTATCGATGTAGGATAAAGATGAGCCACTGTGGAAACAATTACTGATTTTTTTTTAATGATAACCCAGGCTGCTTAATGGAGCACAGCACACCCAGAGTATACCAGACAGAATGGTTCCTTACATTGAGAACTTAAAAAATATTTTGGTTTGCAGCCTTTTTATTATGTTCAGAATCGCATCAGAAATCTTTAGATTTTATGTAATGAAAATTTTTTTTGGGGATACCAAGATGGTGTAAATAATGCTAAAACTGAATTGGAAACTCACTAGCACAAGGTATAGCTGAGGTATACAGCTTATAGTGTATTTTATGGTAAGCTAGATAAATGCACCATTGTGAAAGGAACAGAGAGTTATGCCATCAGGTGAGATGAAAAGGGATGAGGAGGACCATAACAATCAATGTTGGCTATTTGAACTGAATGGCCTGTTTCTGTGCTGTATTTCTTTTATGTTTGTTCAGGGGATGCAGGTGTCACTGGCTGGAACAGCAATTATTGCTCATTCTTAATTGCTAGGAGGGCAGTTAGGTGAAAACCGCATTATTGTGGGTCCAGAGTCGCATGTAGGCCAGATCAAATAAGGATGGCAGATTTCCTTTCCTAAAGGACATTAGTAAATCAGATGGCTCTTTACGACAATTGACAACAGTTACATGGTCACTATTAGGTTAGCTTTATATTGCTGATTTTTATTGGATTTATATTTACCATCTAGCATGGAGTTTGAGCAAATGTCTCTGGAGAACATGTACATAGGACATCGAACAGTACAGCACAGGAACAGGCTCTTCGATTCCCTGCCTGTTCATGTGTCTGTCTAAATGCTTCTTAAACATTTATTAGTTTGGATCTCTGGATTAGTATCTCTGGATTAGTAATAGCAGACTACAACCACCCAAAACCTATGGAGTGAAAACATACTTAAAACAAACCTTATTTGAAATTTGCAATTCCATTTTTCAATTGGATTAACATTTTATATAGATTCTACAGGCTTTCAAATAAAACTTATCTTATCTGAACTTCGATTGCTTTTATGTTAATGGCATCTAATCCTTTGTCATTATTGCGACTTTAACGATGGTTACTTGTTGCAATGATTGAAGCCCATCATCAAGTCACTGCCTGGAGTGTGTGAGCGGTCAGGAATAGACAGGATAAAATATTAGATTGTTGTGCTCACCACCACCTTCTCAAGAGCAACTACTGATGAGCAATAACTGCTGGCCCAGACAGCAATGTCAAATTCCCAAAGAATGAATAATAAAGATACATGCGAATAAAACCAAAATATTGTGGATGCTGGAATTCTGAAATAAAAAGAGAAAATGCTGGAGAAATTCAGCAGGGGGTCTGGAAGCTAATGTGGAGATACTCATTTGGTCTTTTAGCAGATGGTATTAATCGCATAAACAGGCATCAGAATTTTCTGAATAGGTAGCACTCTCACCTTTGAGTTACAGGTTTGTGGGTTCAAGTCCTACAAATTGTTGGAGAAACTTAGAAGGTATCTGAGGAGGGAGAGCAGAGTTAATGTTTTGAGTCTAGTGATGGTTCTTCAAAACTCTGAAGGGTCACTGAACTGAAAATGTTAACTCTGCTTTCTCTCCACAGATGCTGCCAGACCTGCTGAGTTTCTCCAGCAATTTCTGTTTTTGTTTCAGGTTTTCAGCATCCGCAGTTCTTTGTTTCATTTACCTCAAGTACGGTCCTGAGGGAATGCTGCATTGTCAAAGATATTTTCTATTGCATGTGAAATTAAACCCAGGCCCTACATGCCTTCTCTAGATAGATACCAAAGACCCGTCCAGTGCCAACATAGAGCAGGAATGTTCTCTGTAGTGTCCTGGCTCAATCCCTCAATCAACAATAACAGACAAAATCTGGTCATTGCATGGTGGCTGTGGGCAAATATGGTGACAGTATTTTCTACCATATTTTCTGTAGTAGTTAATAATCTGCAAAGTACTGAGTTCATGAAGTGCAATTTTATGCAACATGAATGCAATGTTTTCCTAATCACCTGTGTTGCAATGTTTCCTGTTTTGTATCCTTACGGAACAGAGACATGAGAACAATGCCAAGCACCTTTTCAACACACCTGAACACTCCAAACAAGACTCATATTGGCCTCGGGACGTTAACTCTGTTTCTCTCTGCGACCAGACCTGCTCAGTTTCCCCGGTACTTGTGGTTTGCAATACCAGGTCTCTCAGCCTCGGCAGTACTTCTCTCGTTTTTGGAGTACATTTCTTTTTCGCCTCTGTTGTGGTGTTGCTGGGGTAGGGGGTGGAGACACGGGGAAGTGGACAGTGGCGGGCAGTAACAAGGGGTTAAGAAGCGAAAAGGTGTTTTTCATTGCACAGTCGATTTCACACGGTTACCCCGCCCCCTCAGCACAATCCCCTGCGTCCATTGGCGGGTCGTGTGGGCGGGGTCTCCCCCGGTTGGTTGTCTGTCCCGTCGATCAAGGTTGGAGGTGGGTGCGTCTGTCCCAGTAGACTGGGCAAAGCGTGCAGGAAGCAGGAGTCCGGACTGTTGCTGCTTGGTGCTGATGGTGAGGTAGAAAGTAGCTGCAAGACCTGACAGGGATGCACATCATCCCAGTTCTGAGAGCAGGCATGATCCCTACCGCCAGGTGAGAGAACAAAACTGCGAAAAACAAAACCCACAAGAAGAAAAATAAAACCACACCACAACAGCATCGGAAGTTCAGCTGTGCTGCACACAAGTGGGTGAAGAGATTGCAGTCAGCAACAAAACAAAAGAGGAGCAATTTACCACCTTTCTTCACCCCTCCCCACCCCCCCACCCCTTCTGTTACCCCAACCCACCCCCTCCCGATTCTGTCAGAGCTGCGGACCTGGTTCGAGATGTCAAGGAAAAAGACTCTGAAGAGTAAGAGTCACACGTCTCCCAGCACCACCTTACCAGCCGGCAGCGGGAAAGAACAGGAGGCGAAATCACGGAAGAGCAACTCCGGCGGCCAGGCTTTGATAAACGGAGTGATCCTGCCAAACAGACCCTCTCTGAGCAACAGCAGCGAGTTCTATGACCTCGCTTTTAAGGTTGGTCCTCTGTAAACGGGAAGAAGCCTCTCACGGTGCACTGGCTGAGCTCAGTGCGCTGGCAAAAGGGGGCAGATTATTTCCTTCTGATGTTTTACTGCATGCACACTTTGCATTGTGTTGTGAGTTGTTTTGTTTGCGAATTGAAAGCTGTCAGGAACGGTCTGGGGCAAACAAAACGTTCTCTGCGTTTCTAGGCACGCAAAAACATATTTTGTCAAAGAAAGGGGTAGGTATTTTTACGGCGCAGGGTGCGGGAACCGGCCGTTCGGGCCGTCTGATGATGCTGTACATGGCTTGCTATTTCAGGTTTGTGCTGTTTCTGGTCTGAAACATTCAGGTCCGGGAGTGGAAACACGGTCCAGTCTTCACAATCACACTCCTTTGGCATTTTCTCCTCCAAAGTGATTGCTAAACCCTAGCAAGATCATCAGAATTAATTTGCTTGTACTCTGCACAGCAACAGGCCTTTTAACTCTTCGCGTTTGTACGGGTTCTTTCGAAAGGACTAATCAATTGTATTGTAACAGCGCCCGCTCTTTCCCTATAGCCCTGCAAGTGTTTGTCTTTCGAAGTGTGTAATCCGATGACTCCCCTTTTTTTCTTCTTGTGTGGAATTGCACTTAAGCCCTGAAACCCAGTTTGTAAACTGCTTGCTGCCGGCTTCCATTAATACTAAATCATAAGGGATAGAGAACATGGATTATGTAACAGCCACTGGATGTTACTCCAGCTTCCACTGTTCGATATGCATGGATTAAAGGGCTCTCGGGATGGCCTCATTGCTTCCTGTTTTTGATGCTAGTTGCAGAAAGAATGGAGGGCTCATTCGGAAAGCTGATTAGAGGGCTGCCGTGGCCGGGAGCAATGGCAAAATCATCGCCCGTCGATTCAACGCTTGACTCCTTTCAGACATCCTCAATCAAGGCTATACCATGCACAGCACATCTCATCGCACAAGTGTTCGCCCTTTTATAGCAGGCGAAGTCATTTATGGGGAAAAGGAGATAAAGTCAGGTTCACCTGACAGCTGTGTACTACTGACTCAGTTTCTTGCGTTTGTGCCACTTTAGGTGGCGAGTTTTAGCAGAAGCTGTGCCCACAGTGCCAGCTGAACAGGAAAAGTTTTTTTCCAAATGCCCATTTATTTTTAGAAAACTGAAATGAACTTGTGTTGTCATATGCCTGATACCATGTATTTTTAACCTGGTGGCTGTCTCAGTATTTATAAGGCATTAATTTTGGATTGAGAGATAGGAGGGGGTTAGTTATACTGTAGGTGAGGTGAGGCGGGTGGTGCTGTAAACTCACAATATTGTAAAGGGGAATTGGGAGCTAAATCAGTAACAGCTGAATTTGCATCTGGCTACCATGATGGTCCCCAGTTATAATCGTCCATTCTCTCTCTAGGGAAGTGGTCTTGATTTGATTGTGTTTAAAATTAAAATACAAATACATAAAACAAACAAAGTGGCAGTATCAGGAAGATAGTCAAAGACATATTTTTGTTTCTGGTTTATTTACTGGATGCTGCCCATGCGTTTATGTAGTATTTTCTTTATCAGTCCAAAACCAATTTTGCCTGTGTTGCTAGCTTTCAAGATGAAAAATGATTCTTCTCACTCCATCTTTATAGTTGAAGTTTTGAACGAGTTGTTGAGAGTGATGCCAAGGCACACAGCACACTGAAGCAATCCAATTTATAGTGCATAAAAACCGAAAGAACTGCGGATGCTGTAAATCAGAAACAAAAAAACAGAAATTGCTGGAGGAGTTCAGCAGGTCTGGCAGTATCTGAGGAGCATCTAGCAGCATTCGAGTGGTTCGGTTCCGAAACATTAACTCTAATTTCTCTCCACACATGCTGCCAGACCTGCTGAGTGTTCCCACAATTTACAGTGCTCTAGCTAAGGCTGAAGACGGTTTGGAGGAGTTCCCAACCCACATGCACAGCTTGAAGACGTGCAGAATAGATAGAATGCGCTCCCCAATAAGAATGCAAGAACGTCTGGACTGTTGTCCCTAACCCGATAGGAGCACAGGAACGTTAGGACCCCTAGCCAATGGGAGAAAAGGCACATCAAGACTTCAAGCCAATGGGAGAACAGAAACTTTAGGACTTCAGGCCAATGGGAGAGCAGGAACGTTCGGACTGGGAATGGGAGAATGGAGAATCTAGGATATCAGGCTTATGGGAGAGCAGGAAAATCAGAGTCTCAGGTCAATGGAAGAACAGGTACAGGAACATCTGTACAAGTGTTATTGACCAATGACAGAACAGATCATCTTGACACTTGTCCTTGGACCATTGTTGCAGGATTCTCAATGGAAAGTTTAAAGCATCTTGGTTATTGAGGGACTTGTGGGTGAGTGGGCATATTCTCCTTGCTTCAGGATGTGCATGACCCTGGGAGCTGTATTTGGAGTAGAGTATCAGCCAACAAGCACATTTCTGCTCTTGTTTAACCAGCTATACTGCTTCCAGTAATCCAAGATAGTTCATACCCTATGCACTTCCCAACTTCCATATTGTGGAAGCAATGGCCTACTGGTATTATCATTGAACTGTTAATCCAGAGACCTGGTTAATGTTCTGGGGACTCAGGTTCGAATCCCGACACAGCTGATAGTGGAACTTGAATTCAATAAATATCTGGAATTAAGAATCTAACAATGACCTTTAACCATCGTCAGTTGTGGGGAAAACCCATCTGGTTCACTAATGTCCTTTAGGGAAGGAAACTACCGTCCTTACCTGGTCTGGTCTATGTGTGACTCTAGATCCACAGCAATGTGGTTGGCTCTTAACTGCCCTCTGGGCAATTAGGGATGGACAATAAATGCTGCCTAACCAGCAATGCCCTCATCCCATGAATGAATCAGGGAAAAAGAAAGTTCAGCTGCATAAACTCATGCAAACACAGTGTTGGATTACTGTCCAGAAGCTGAGCAGCTAAAAATGTGACAGAGTAGATCTAGGAGGTGGAAGATAGCAGTTTTGGAATGCCTTAGGTCAGAACTGGCCCAAGTCACCTGATGACATCTTTCTGCGCTGCAAGAGAGTTTTGAGCATTTCAGTAATGAAGGCTTTGGAGCTGAACACAGTCCTACCCATACCCGTAACACAATGCACAGTGTTTTCTGGTAAGGGTCACTAGTCAAGGAAATTATTTCTAATTAACCTGTTCACACATGTTAAGACACACTTCTGGGGCAGGTGGACCTTGCCTGACCTGTAGGCAGTAGGTACCACTGCCAGTGTAACACTAGATCCTGGAAATGAAGTTCCTCCAAGATTTGAACTGGGATTGCTGGATTCTGAATCCAGAATGATCACTGTTTTACCAACGTGCACACATCCCACCTATGGCACAACTCTGGAGACATGCGTAGCTATTGGGCTGAGGCCATTAGAGAACAACATCAACTGGGAGCCGCTGTTGCAAACATTTACCCTGCTGATAGGGTGAGATGAAATAGTGTGGGAAGAGGCTAGTGCATAACCCAGTTTGGTGGAATGGTCTGTTTTTATTTCTGTACATTCTAAGTAATATGAATATTTTGCTCATCTTTTATGCATTGCATCCCTCATTGAAAGCTAAATTAAAAAAAAAACTTACAATCTGGTGTGGTTTTGTGGTGTTATTAATTAGTGGATTTCAAACTGAGATTCCCTAAGATGATCATTCCCGGTATGTGCAGGCATGCTGAAAAAGTGGGGGAATTTTTAACAATCCATTAAACAACCATTACTTATTTATGTATGGTCCATGCTTGTCTCAGTAACAACCTGTTGTTTTATTTCAGGTGATGTTGGTTGGAGACTCTGGAGTGGGGAAAACCTGTTTGCTGGTGCGTTTTAAGGATGGAGCTTTCCTAGCAGGAAGCTTTATTTCTACAGTGGGCATTGACTTCAGGGTGAGATTTGCTTACATTTTGCATTTCTTCACGGTTTAACTGTGCTGCTCAGACCACTGTCAGTATCATAGAATGGTACAGTACAGAACAAGGCCATTCAGATCATCTTGTTTTTGAAAGAGTTGCTCAGTTAGTCCCACTGCTTCCCTGAACACATGCACACCTCACTGAATGTTTGTATTTACATTGCATGCATGTTGGGAGCGAGTATTCCTTGTTATTTATTGGTTTGAATTTGTGCCAGTGCACATGGAATCCATTTGGCTAAAGGCCCTATTTTTCACCCACTGCTTTGATAAACACTGCCTGTCATTGAATGACACATAAAAAAAAAATGTGTGGCTTTACATCACTTTTATCACATCCACCAAATAAAGGGAAGCAAGTGAATCTTTAGTGCATATATTAAACTTGCAGAGCTTCCTAAGCTTATTTTTCTTGCCCACTGTCAACTCATTTCAAGTGTTGAAAGTTGCCATCACCCCATAATGAGAGCTGTGGTTCTGGGGCAAGGCAGGAGCAATGGGGTCAAGTTATTGATTTACAGGGTACTCTTATATTAAAAAAAGACCAATTCTTGGCATTTTTGAAACAGGAATCAGGCCTCAAAGATTGGTTAGTTAGGTCACATCCACCATTAAAGTAAGAACAAGGATTTAAAGGGATCTGGCAGCCTTAGTCAGAGCTCCAATGACAGCCATTGCTATCTTGAATCTCATAACCCCTAAATCTTGTCTCATTACCCCACTAGAGTTTGTGGCCCATTGGAGGGTGTGTGCCAGAGGCAGCAGCGCAATTGTGTATTTCCAGGAAGGACCCACATTTGATTCCTGGCCAGTCTCTGGATTAGCGATCTCTGTGGGTTTACTATGGGGAGGTTACTCTGAGCTCAATGCTTGGAAGAATCAGCCCATAGCAACTGATACTTGCTGGAGAGTGTATGTGCATATTTCACCAGAATCCATTGCACTGCCTCCAGAGTCAAACAGCATGCTTACAATTGGTCTCTTCTCACATGGGAAAGCATGACCGATTGCACTCTGATACAAATGGGATCACACAGTCTGTCAGGGACACGAGCCATCACCTTCAGAGGAGTTTTTTTAAAAAATACCATAACAGCAGCATTAGTGACTGTGAAAATCGACTTATTGCAATGGTCCCTGATGAGATTTCTAATATCAAGTATTATTCGCTTACTGTAAGTTGGACCTGCTTTGGTAAATGTATTGTAGTAAAATGAAGTTTGAGTGTATACAAATGAACCTTTAAAATAATAAAATGCACGTTTCATGTGATATGTAAGAATTATAAATCTCTGTATGGATGGCAATAAGATTGTACATTTAGACACTAGATGAGCCCTGTTTGAGATAATGGAACCTAAAATAAATATATTTCAACAGCTGCAAATTTGCAGCAAAATGACTGAACATAGCAATGGATTATTGCTGCCTGACTGTGAGGTGTTCAACAAGCAGGGTTGTTCCTTTCACTGTGCAGTGCTGTACAGTAAATTGGAGCGAGTCCTGTATTAGCAGAAATACACAAGCCTCCCAGCTTGGCTTTGAAAAATATTATGGCGAGGCATTTTCAGCAAATCAACATACAGCACAGATGGAGGCCACTCTGCCTATTGTACCAGTTTGTGGCACTTTCAAAGAGCAAGCTAATTAACCCCAGTTCCCTTGTTTTTTCCCTGTAATCCTGCAGTTATTTCCTTTCCAAGTATGTAGCTAATTGCCTTTGGGAAGCTGCTCCCAACAGCCTAGGGGCAATGCATTCCAAACCTTGCTGCATAGTAAAATAAATTCTCCTCATCTCCCTTCTGGATCTTTTGCCAGTTATCTTCAATCTGTTTCCTCTGGCTATCAAACCTCCTGCAAGTAGAAATAATTTCTCCTTATTTACTCTAACACAGCCCTTCCAACAGAGCCCTTCCACTAGGAAGGAGATTTGCTTGTTATAATTCCTAATGAAACAAAATGCCTGTCAACTTTCTCCCTGTCCTGTTTCCTTTGGGAACTGATTGGGATGTGGGTCCATCGATGTCCCAGAGCTTTTGGAGCATTGGTCCAAGGGAGCTGACAGTGACTGCTCACACGCTAATCAGTGGTAGAGAGCTTCACAATGGAGCCTGGTGTTGTTCCTGTTATATCTCTAAGTACTCATATAATTCCACACTGGACTCTGAAAAAGTGGAATTTCTGACTTATTTTCCTAGTTCCTAGTTCCTAGTCCAAGAGTGCTGTTTTAACTAACTTTTCAGCTAACTTGGTGCGGTATGGTGGCTCAGTGGTTAGCACTGCTGCCTCACAGTGCCAGGGACTCAGGTTCAGTTCCAGCCTTGGGTGACACTATGTATGGAGCTTGCATGTCCTCCCTGTGTCTGCGTGGGTTTCTACCAGGTGCTTCAGTTTCCTCCCACAGTTGAAAGATTAGGTGGATTATCTGTGCTAAATTGCATCCTATTCCCAAGGCTGTCTAGTCTAGGTGGATTAGCCATGGAAAATGCTGGGTTACAGGGATGGAGTTGGGGGCTAGGTCTGGGTAGGTTGCTGTTTAGAGGGTTGGTGCGGGCTAAATGGCCTCTTCACACTGTAGGAATTCTGTGATTCTAACTTGACAAAAATGTGCTGTCTAACCTGGTTTCCTATTCTGCAGGAATTAGCACGGTATTAAAAAATGGCTATCATCAGATCAGCTGACAAAGTATGTATCCCAGCATCCACTGGGCAAGCAAAATGTACAATATTTACATGATGTTTTATTGCATTCTTCCTCAAATAACCACAATAAATTAGATAAATCTGTTTTCCATTTCACAAAACCATGATGACACTGCCCGGTTACCTTGAACTTTTCAATGTGCCTTGCTATGATATCTTTAAGAATAGTTTCTTAATGTCTTCACTATGACTGATTTGAAGCCTCCTAGACTATAATTTCCTACTTTTTAATCTCCTCTATTTGAATAAAGGAGTTACATTTGGAATTTTCAATCTGATGGAACCTTTCTAGAATCTAGTGAATTTTGGGAAATTAAAACCAATGAATCACCTATCTCAATGACCTCTTTTTTTAAGATCCTGGGATGACGTTCATCTGGACTTTTGTTCTTGCCAGTTTCCAGCTCCAACAATTCATCAGTGCACTCCCTAGTAATTGTAATTTTCCTCCTTCTCATCCACTTCCTGATTTACAGTTATTTCTAGGATGTTACTTATATCCTCTTGAGTGAAAACTAATGAAAAATACCTGGTCAGTTCATCTGCCAACTCCTTATTTACCAGGATTAATTCCTCAATCACACTTTATATCGGACCAATGCTCACTTTGTTAACTCTTATAATTATCTTTAGAAAACGTCCACTATCGTTCTTTTATATTTGTCGCTTGTTTTCTCTCACAGTGAAATTTATCCCTTCTTAATCTTTTAGGCTGACTGCTTTTTTTAATGTGCAGATCAATCTTCTGAACTCCCGCTCTACTGGGACTGGAGGATTTGAGTTCTAAGGAGAGGCTGGATAAGCTGGACCATAGGAAGTTGAGGGGTGACCTTATCGAGGTTTATAAAGTCATGAGGAGCATAGATAAAGTGAACAGCAAAGGTCTTTTTCTAGGGTAGGGGAGTTCAAATCTAGAGGGCATAGGTTTAAAGTGAGAGGTGGAAGATTTAAAAGGGACCTGAGGGGCAACATTTTCACAGAGGGTGGCTTGTACATGGAATGAACTGCCAGAGAAGTGGTAGATGCAGGTACAGTTACACCATTTAAAAAACATTTGGACAGGTACATGAATGGGCAAGATTAAGAGTGTTATGGACCAATCGCAGGCAAGTGGGACTCGTTGGGACTCGACCCATGGGCAGCATGGACAAGTTGAACTGAAGGGTCTGTTTCTGTGCTGTCTAACTCTGACTGTATATGCCCTGGCTCCAACCTCAGCATGTGCTGTTTATGAAGTTTCTGCTATCAATTTTTATTTATGTTATTTATTTAAAATGGTCTAGGACTGATGTATCCGAGGTGGTGCTGGAATTGGGTGAGAAACTTCAGAAATCTGCACCCCAGGACTATCTATTGGTCAGAGCTTACAATTACCATGTGACTATTGACATAATAAAACCAAACATATGTGCTCAAAGCAGGACCTTTAGATTTTCAGTCTAATGTTTTCCCAACTGAGCTATTTCTGCTGATGAGCATTGACACTGCAATTCACAGTGGGAATTAATGACAAAAAAAAATGTGATCCTGAATTGTTTCAGCTAGGAATAAGTTAGTGCATGCCGTAGCATTTTTTTTGGAGCGCAAAGTGATGCACCAAAGTTGTGGCCTTGGTTGTGTCATGCTGAAATTTCGTGTGAGACTAGAAGCTATGACCTGCTGACTCCAGTGGTGAGAGGGCTACTAACTGAATCATAACTGGCACAAAACTGCTGAATTTGATTAGCGTGCCTTTATATATAGGAACTGAGTAAGAGTGATCTGTGTTGACTCTCATCTGCTGAATTATTTATTTCACCCTTTACCACTGATTACTTCCCTCGGTGGTACAGTTGAGACTGAATTTAAAATGTGAACGCTAGGAATCTGTTTGGCATGAATGCACACACCACTGTTATATTTTGTAGAGAATCTGCACGTTAGTTTTTTTTAAAGTCTTAGATAATTCCATATCCATCTATTCCCCTTTGGCCATTCAGAGTTTTTACTGTGGTTACAACAGCTTCAGAGAAGCTATTAGCAGTGTGGATAATCACTGTGGCTGCAGGGTAATCATTGCTACTATAATCAACTTGCACTTATTCCAAAAGAGCTCTTGGTGGCTGAATCCTATTTTAACAATTAACAGCATGGCTGGATTAAAGAAATAAGTAGCCTTTGAGAGACTGTGGTTTGAGGGTGTGAGTGGTGGTAAGGAGATGGGGTGGTAGGGGTGTTGTAAGGTATGAGGGGGAGAAGGGAGAGAAAGTGATGATCTTTCTGATGAGTTGG